ATGGATTGAAACATTTGTACATTTATACTTTTAAAAATTTTTTGGAAGAGAGGAGATAGTTAATATATTTGATTATCAATTTATTAAAAAGAAAAACTTAATTATTGCTTTGAGTTTGCTATGCTGCAAGTCCTTTTAAAATAATGGCACATGGTTAGCGATATAAGTATTTATCTTAAATTTATATATAAACTTAAAGATAAAAAAATATTATTAGACACATAAAATTCTTTACATAGAGGATTCGTACTTTTTTTTATGCTTAAAATTATTGACTAATTTTTTATGTATACTGCTTAATTTTGGATTCTGTAAGTTGAAATAATTATATATAGCTAAAATGTTATATGTTAATATTTCTGCAATATTGTTGGGTTGTTCTATATTTTCTGAAATATAAAGAAAATAATATAAAGCAAATAATATTCTTACAGTTTCTTAGAACAGTGTACCGAGGCTATTCTGTTTAAAACTATAATAAAAGAAAGATACAGCAATGATGACTTACATAAACATATCTGTGTTCTTCGTAATATTGATATTGATTATATATATAATCAATTATATATAATATTATATATAAGATTATATATAATTATAATAATAATTATAATTATAATAAATTATATATAAGATTATATATAAGAAGGCACCTAACTTGCACACCTCAAAAAACTTGTAAATCTTAAGTTGTATGAAAAATTGTTATATACAAAAGTTGCAATACTTCGAAGTCCATAGTACATAAATTTTTTTATAAGTGGAGGTATTTAAAAAATTTCAAGATCAACTTTGTTTTTTTAACTGGAAACCCCCATTTTTATTACATATTTTTGAGCTGACCTCGAGAGCTCTTCAAAACACCATAATAAAGTCTTTTTTTAGCAAATTCTTTCTGAATTATGAGACTTGACTTTGATACGCAATTTGACATAAAGTATAAAATTTCTCGAAACTATTTATTTTTTGACAACTATATTTTAATATTTTTATATTAAGGCAGAATAATGAGATAAATCAATTAGTATAAAGAAAATATATAGTTGTTTTTCAAAAAAGATATGTCGTTGCATATTGCAAATCTCCATTTTTTTTTAAACATGTAATAGATAGCTGGGACGATTAGTGACAGAAAAGGATATAAAATGAGAGAGAAAGGTAGAGAATCTCGGTTAAAGAAATGTCCATTTAATGTTATATCTGACAACAACGACGACATGGACATTACTTAAAAATTTATCTATTTAGACTTTGGATATCTCTATTCATAGAATAGTACGCGAAGAAAAATTAAAAATCTTTTTATTATATAATTTAAACTTCAGCTATTGATTGAGACTAGTTAGAAATTAATTCAGTTCAGTCGTTGCTGAGATACAAAAATATAGATCAAGTTCGTCTCGAGCTTTTGAGTATATATAGCCGGGCATACCTCACCGTAGTTCTGACTTTGCTACGCGTGAACTTGGCAACGAGATATCATCCGTGCTTCTTGATTTTTTGGATTTTTCAAGCTTAGAAGCATAATTGAATAAGACGGTAGCTTGGTTATTATAAGAAGAATATTGCTGTAGATTCAAATTTTGGTATTGGGGGATGTCAAAAATATATGTATAAGTTATATGAGAAATTTCAAACTTGATTTCCTTACGAGTGCTTAAAGGTTGACTGACTTTATTATTAGTAAGGATACAACATTATCACATATCAAGCTATACAAGATCCAAAAGAAAATCTCTAATATTCTCCTTGTAAGCAAAAAAATGTAAGAAAAAAAGAAAGGAAATCATGTGAAATGTTAATAAGAAGATTATTTTTAGTATCTTATGTAAAAGTACTTACGGCACTTACATACAATATGTTGTTTTTTCAAGTTTTTATTATGTTCCATATGATATAAATATTAAATTTTTATAAATTTTATATTTTTTATTGTACGATAAATATGGAGACATTATTTGAATATTTGAGAATATTTTTAATATATTATTCTTTATATATTAAATCTAAATTTATTTAGTTCATAACATTTTTAATTGATTTTAATTGATTTTAATAGATTAATTAAAATTAATATAGAAGAATTAATATGCAGTATTAAGTTTCTTATCATAAATTACTACAAATTTTGCAGTTTTTTATATGCTATTTTCTATATACTAATCGGTAAATATTGGAAGAAAATGTATGTGCTAACATTAAATGTAAAATTTTGTTTTAAATTTTATGTAATTTTTAATTAATATATTTAATTTCTCTTGCAATTTTCTTAAGTTTTAGCATTATATATATTTGAATTATTGGATTTCTAAATTATTTTTTAATATAATATTGATTAATAACATTTATTGTTTTATTATGTCCGATTTCTTTGCATTGTGAACATTAATTTACGCTTTATTAATTACAATTACTTAGGGTCCAGCAAAATATTACCAGTAAGCCAAAGACGTCAAACATCAACAGGTCTGAAAGTTACAAGGAGCGGATACATCATAAGGTAATTAATCTCATTGTTTATAAATAGATATCAAGCTTTATTATATAACATTATAGTGATTATTTTATATCTTTATATAAATACTTAAAAAATTAAATTTTATATAAAATTTCTATCTTGTCAAAAAAGCCATGCTTTTAATTATATAGAATTTTAATTATATAAATAATTATATATTAGTTATGAATATCTTTCAGTCGCCTCTATATATTATATTATTTCTATTATATTAATTTCCTTTTACTTCACATTGCGTAAGTTAAAAAAACGATTGAAACAAAGATGATACTTTGCGTATTCGTATTGTTTTGTTAATAATGCATTCAATGCAATATTATTTTTATTTCGCGCATATATCATGATAGAAATATAATAAGAATTAAACATATACAGAACAAAATGGAGGTAAGAGTACGAAATTTTTACATGCTGTATGCATGCAATCTTGATGATTAAGAAAGAAAATTTAGAAAACTTTAGAATTAGATATATTTTTATATGTGTAAATATTTTTCTTGTAATCGATATTATATTTCCAAAATATTGAGCTTATATTTTATATATTAATATAAAGACATTATGTTGTATTAAAATCTCAATTTGTAGAACATTTTGTATACATTATAAATATTTGTTATAATATTCAAAAATATTGTAAATCATTAATGCACAGATTATTCTAACAACTATGTTATATAATACTAAAAGTATTAATGATGCTAGAAGCTTTTATTTAACTTGTAATTGAAATTGCATTTTTTACATTACAGCGGCAATTAAGAGAAAAGAGGAAGACTAGTGATCCAAATCTTTCCAAAACAAAGTGAGTAATTCTATCAAAATGAATATTTATAGTACTGCTAAAAGTATTGATATATTGTTAAAAAAGAAGAATTTTGAAATTCCTGATATTACGTGTAATTAATTTTGTTGTATAATTATACTGAATTTATATTAGAAATGAAGTATTATTTTTTTTATATTATTTTTTTTGTGTATGTTAAAATAAATTAAAATAATAACTTTTCTAGATTTTATTATCTTTTAAGCAATCTCGTAGAAGTTTATTGGGATTTTTTCAGAAATTTTTTGAAATTTGAATTTTATTGCTGAGAAAGATTTTTAATAATTTTGCTTTTATAATGCAAGTGATCGACGGTTTAAGTTGACCACTAATATAATATCAATTTAAGCATATTTATTTATAAGTAACTTACGAATTTTTATAAAAAATTGTATTTAAGAATATATGATTTTTTTTAACAGAAATTTTGAATAAAAATATCTGAAAAATTGAAGAATTTTCAAGGAATTTTTAGGAAATTTGAGTAAATACTCTAGAAAAAATTAATATATTTTGATATATAATAATTTTCTTATTAGAAATGTCAAAATTGTGAATGAAAATAATGGAATTTAAAACCTTAATTTAAAAAAATTTTGAAAAAGTTAGTTTTTCTATTTTTTTCTATCTCGATATTCTTTATTTTAAATGCAAGAAAAGTAATATAACTAGAAAAAAATAGCTTGTTGCATTGTGAAGAGAATAAAATATTCTCGCATTATTATATCAATAGAGAGTAAAGAGAAAGCACCCTGTTATTCACGGCTATAGCTGTACTGTTAAAAATGGCATTCAATCTGAACTAAGCTTTGACTGCGTATTGCTAGAGCAACATAATACGTAAATCCGCGGACTTTTGGCAGCGTTCCTCTTTCTCGTCTTGCCTCTCCATCGCTTTTCCATAATGAATACACGCGAAGAGCGCAGACTCGACTTGTGCATCTCGTTTCTTGTCGTACGAAGGTGTGTATACAGAACCGTCGTTCGAAAGGCCTTCAGTATGACGTTAAACGTTCAATTTCGCGGATGGCTATTGCGTCGCTTCGACGGCACGAGACACCTACGCTCTCAAGACATTTTTTAAAACGGCCGCTCTCCCTTTAGCCCAGTCGAAAACTCGATTACGCCGTTGCTATTCCCGTTCCGATTTACTTGTGTATCGTTTGTACTTTTCTTAATTTTTTTTTTTTCCTTAATTATTTGATAAGAAAAGTGTTAAATGATTAGTGCAATCTTAATGAAATATGGATATAGACATGTGGATGTGTGAAATAGAAACAATATATATAGATTTCTTAAATATTTAATTACAACATTGGTGATTAAATATTTGACTATTAAATTTTACAAAGAAAGGAAAACTCTCTATAAAAGCTTGATTATTAAATACAAAATTTTTTTAAAATATCCTTTTCAGTTAAAACACAAGTCGTTCAAGTATTTATAAAAATATTTGAATAAGTACAAATAAAGATTCTTGAAATTTAGACAATAGGTGACAGAGCAAAATTAAATAAGAATTAGCACTGTTAATGATATGCACAGTTAATGTAATATTTTGTAATATTTTGTAATACATCTTTCTCAGTTCAAAGTAAACTATGCGCCGATTATTTATCAATTTAGAAACGAAGTTACTATCAACTGAAGTTAAAATCATAATATTATAGATTAATATCAATTTTAATATTCTTCAATATCAATATTATCATATTAATTTTAATATTCTTGATATTAATAAACATTGATTAATAATCAATTGTAAATTCATGTACATTCCTAGTGTTAATTTTAAAAATCTGTTATGAAAAATATCATTTTGGCCAGGATTTGAATCTGGACTTTCTTACTTTAATCTTTAAAGAATGGATATTTTTATCAATTCAACTATTGAGGCTTGTAATGACATTCAAAAAAAATTTGTTAATTTTTTTTATTGATTAAATTTTTTTTTTTTTAATTTGTCGTATTAAATATAAGTTTTTCGAAAGTTAGGAAGATTCAGATTTGAATTTTTGACCAAGATAATATTTTTTGCTAAAAAATTATTTACAAATTTTTAAGTAATTTTTAATAAAA